TTTAACTATCCACTTTTTATTTTGCGTGTTGACTTTTGGTGCGTGGCCACTGTCGGCCGCCTTAGCTGACATGTGGTGAGAGAAGCGAAGAATGCCGTGAGTATTGCCGTGAAAAAATTGAAATTGCCTTGTGTAAAATTGCGAAATTGCCGTGAGCAAATTGAAATTAATTGCGGTGAGTAAAATTGAAATTGCCGCGACACTTTTGGGCCACCATAATGGAGAGATAGATTATTCATTTCAAATATTGCGCCGTTTTTTATTGGCCCCCTCGGCTAAATCTTCATAACCATCTGGTGCTTACCATTTGGAAAACAAGAGCAATATACCAACGATTTGAAGTAGAGGATAAGGCACCGGTTACTCCGGTTTTTTGTGGATTTAATCAACTTTTTGAGTGGTATAAATTAACGCAGATGACGTCATGCATCTCATTAAGATAGGATGATGTCATAGTTTAAATTAATGCCAGTGACGTCATGCATGCCATTAAGATAGGATGATGTCATAGTTTATTTTTAGCTGGCAAGGAGCAAGTGACGTCAGAATTTCCTAGAGTTGACGTCATCAAAAAATATTGAGATCATAATCTATAAACAGAAAAGTGATCTTTATATAATTAGCTATTTGCTACAGTCTTCTGATTGGATATTGTAGAAACTGTTAGGTGTTCAAAATAAAAGCGGGCAAATTTTGAACTTGTTATCTTTGCAGATTACACTAAATGAAAAATCTTTAATCATTTAATTATTTTCACTCAAAACTGGTTATAAACAAAACCAAGACACGGAGGTTAACTGAAAAATGTTTGCTTCAAAAGAAGGGAAAAGGAGGAAAAGCGAATGCAAAATCGTACTAATTTTTCAGGCAAAACATGAAAACGAGGTCGAAGCTCAGCGAAGCGAAAAACTGCCTATCAAGCAAAAATGTCAATCTTTGTTTACTTGGCTCTGTAGAAAGTATTGCACAGGGTATGAAAATTCTGTAGTAAACAACAGGTGGTTCTAAAGTAAACCCTACCTCTTTTCAGTGGTTCTTAAATAAACCCCATTCTTGTTCCTAATGAGTGGAAAGTCTATTTATAAAAATAGGAATAAGATGTGTGATCGCCTAGAAACACATGTCTTCTTGTTTAGCGCTAAAAATCGGATATATAAAGAAAACACACACACACACACATACACACAGTGGAGCTGAAAACTCTCTATTTCAATTTTGACTCACCATTACAAAAGCGTTTTCTCCGTTCTATCTCGAGAAACGACTAACTATTGAAATCTCAGCGCTTGATGAGCTTATGGTCTTGTTAATTCACGCGCTGTTAGTCAGTTAATTATGCGGGTTAACAAGCCCACAGTTGCATACAAATTGGCTCCACAGTAAAAACCCCAAGGGAGAAACTTGATTTATTATGATAAAAACACAAGCAATTAATAACTTAACAAGGATCAATTAAAACACGCGACAAATAAATTGACAAGACAAGAGATACAGTTTTAAAAACTTTATTGAAAACCAGTGACAAAAACAGTAGAATACACAGCGATTTGAAAGAGATGGAAATTAATCGTCGTCTTCGCCCATGGAGTACTTGTAAGGTCTAACTCGAAATTTGTTATGCCGAGTTTGTTTTCTCTGTTTGCCATGAGCATTATGATCATCCAAATAATTTACAAATTGAATCCGACGCCTTTTGCGCTTTGGGCTTTGTGATGGGGTTTCTACTGTGGGAGGAGGGGTCAGGAAAGCACGATTTAAGGTTAGTGGTGGCGTGGAGCTTTCGTTTTCAGGTTTTTGTAAGGTAGCCGCTTGTGTTAATTTAGGTGTTACGTTGAAGGGGTTAATGGGAGTGGAGAATGCTGCCGTTGCTGTCGAAGAATCTTGTGTGCTTGATGTTAAGTCTGAAAAAGTGCGGATTATTTTTTCCGGTCGTTTTCTTGTATTTAATTGTTTTTTAAAAGCCAGGTATCTGTTTTGCAACTGAAAGTATCTCTTAGCTTTTTCAGCGTCCCGAAGATCGTTTCGAGAAAGCAAGTCATCCATGTTGCCCTGTATTTCTTGCATAGCTGGAAGAAGTGTGACAGGCGGAAGATTTTTATGCTTTAGATATTTTAAGAGCCATTTTCTGAGAAAATCGAGAATCGCACGACACTCGTCAATTTTTTTTTCATTTTGCCAAAACATCCCTTTTAGTGACCTTATTTAAGGAAAAATAGTTTTGGGTTCGAAAGATTCATTTTAAAGGAGAAATTAGGAAAAGTTTGAAAAATCGATTTTATGCTCGTTTTTCGCACAAAACACGGCAGGATGCAATGGCAACTTCGAGAGAAGGGTGAACGCGTAAGAAACATTCCCTGACATTGAAACTTCACCGAATTATTATTTTGTTCTTACTCTTGAAAATCCTAAAAGAAAATTTGATAAACAATGCTTTACATTTTTATAATCGACAAGTGTAAAGAGGTCATATTTGTGACGTTAGACGTGCTAGAAAATGAAGGCCAACTTTGACT